TTTCATAATTCGCCAGCATAGCCCATCACGATCGATTGAAAAATAGCATATTCGAGTCGACCGAGATTGACATCAACTGAAAGTTCGTTGGTCTCGTATTATTATACCGCGGAGAAGTTTAAAATAAGATTTATTTCTCGGAAGTAACGCCATATATTATTCCTGTGCTATTCGCAGTATATTAAAATATTCAAGTATAGGATGTTCACAAAACTTTCTTCAAAAATCGTGCACGAATTCTATTCTAAAGGCTGAAGATGAAAAAAAAACACGGAAATTGTTTAGTCAGATCAGCATTATTATTCAATATATCCATTTCAACTGCTGCATACATAAGAAAAGAAATATTTTTCGAAGTAGATACAGTTTCAATTTCTCGAACGCTTTTAGTCGGTTTCGTGATAAAATATTATCGGGATAGGATCTTCATTTTTCGAAAGGTTTCGTAGGAGGTATCGTATTGTAAAAATGACAAGTCAACCGCCAATATGAGAAAAAAAGTAAAAAATATCAAGCAAGGCGAGAAGTCGAGATGCGATTTACGAAAGTTGGAAATGTAAGTTCTTCTTTCCGGCTCGTTAAGCCGTCAGTTCCAGCATCAGCAGTTCGTTGGAGTTTACATCGGTTTTCGAGAAAAATATGACATCTGCGCGCGTAATATGTTTGCCAACATTTACATAAGTCTCAGAATGCGTCAAAAGGTTAATGTCCACATGAAGGCATTTATCGTCGAATCGATGGCGAGAAAATCAATTTATCCGCTTTTTGCTTCATTTTCAACTTATGATTTTCGAAACGAAGTACCGCATGTTTTCAAATATTTAACTTTACTGCAGTCACGAGCATTTCACAAGATTTGCTACCGACGATATTGCCTCGCAGCAGGATACCTTGAAAGTTTCACACAACAAGGATGAGTCTACTCCACTAAGTTAAATCGAATATATATATATATATATATATTATATATATATATATATATGACAGCGATTATTTCGATATTCCACTCTAAGAGACAGATTTGCACCATACACAAATAATGTTTCATATTGCTATGTCATTTGACAAAGATATGATCTTACCTCAATAACTATAAGCAAATGGTATTGTGACCACAGCAAACGATTATTATTATCTAGTCTCTCTAAGCCGCTTTGATTCAATTAATTTTGAGCGTCGATCGATACTAGATTTCCTCTCGCAGTCGAGAATATCTCATATCAAAATCGGATCAAAAATTATTTCTTCACTTATATATTATTTTTAATGCAAATATAAAGACGTTTCAATCACAAAAGAAGAACTTCGCGAAGGTAATTTCCTCTTTAAGATCATACACTATTCTTGACACGAGTGTGCATCTTCCATAAAGACGCACATGTCTATTCACATGATGTCCTTGTATTTTATTATACGCAAACAGGATATGAAATGTCAAAGGTAAATTCCTTATTTAAAATTAAAAATCTTGAAATGTCAATCTTTGGAAAAATATTAAAGGATATACTTTTCTATAACAAATCCAGTTTTGGATTTAAATAACGTATTTGTCACTGAAATTTCGCACAGTAGTTGTGACTCACCCTGAGAATAATAAATAAACATTTTACTTGTATGAATTATGAAATAATATAAATGTTATCTTGAATTACTGTTTTTATCACTTTGGAATGTTATGGTGTGCTGTGGTTGTTACTAAAATCGCGATGCTTCGATGCTCTCGATAGAATCGCCACATTTGAAGGCCTGTTCTCGAAACGGAAATTTTGAGTGCTTATAGCCACAAAGATTGGGTAGCTATCGGGACCATACAAAGATAGTCACGCCCCAGAATAAAGGGGAGCGACCAATAGGACGACTCCAGGTAGAGGGTCGTGCACGAAATTAAAATATCCTTCCTACGTAATGACGCGAGAGATATGCTGGTAACGACGCACGTGAATCCACAGGACGTGGAGTATATGGTCCTAGTCCGGATCCCTTCGCGATGACAAGGGTGGTCCCTACTTTCGATCCCCGGTCGAAGGGTTCTACGGGCACCCCCTTGAAATCGCGAATCCGACGGACATATGCTGAGGCAGGGGAGAGAAGCGTTATTGTATTATTCACGACTCTAAAACGCGTAAGATAACGTTACCGTGATTTTTAATACGTGAACGCGAGGATGCGGGGGATGTGACCCTTCATGTATACTTTGATAATGGGATTAGTCGTGTTGTTAGGGGTTTAAAATCGCGGCTATGTTTTCTCAACTTTGTCGACGCACGCTAAATAATATTATATATATGGTATATTATTCGCCAATATCGAGGTATGCATTTATTAAAGAGTATTACGATTCCCGCTAGAGATTTATCATTGACAATAATAAATGCGATATAAAACGATGATAACAAATTAAAGTATTTTCCAATAGTAAGAAATTAAAATTAAAATTTACATTGAAAAAAGTTTCTTTATCTGATTAAATATGTTATTAATCGATTAATAAATCAAGTTATTTGTTAATATTTTTTAAAACACAATCTATAATTCTGTAACTCGATATTCGAATATTGTAACGATTATTATTTCCTTAATATTTGTAATGTATATTATCGTTATATCGTATATCGTATATCGGTATATTATATCATCCCAATTGCGAAGCAATGATCGAATCGCATCTCCTCCGTCGTAAATAATGCATCGTCGCACGCAATTAATTTTCGGATACATCGACAGGTGCAGTCGGCGTCACCCGCACAAGAATAAGTTCGTGATGATGAGGTCGAAATTCTGATCGTGAAAATGGATATTCGAAACAACGTTTCATGTTAAACAGTAATTTTCCGCTTTGTGAGCAGATCGTGCGGTCTCATCTATTGCGCGATTCGCTCGATAAATTACGGCAACGGCTAATCAAGAAATTAGTCGCGCGTGTGCAAGTCAAATGGCATATTACTGGAACATTATTGCTCTTCTCTCTCACTCCTTCTCCCCCCTTTCTCTCTTCCTCTCTCTCTCTCTATCGAGACACTTCGTTATATCGCAAAAGCGATTTTTGCAGGAAATCTTAATATATATGTTACATAAATATAATGTGATTCTCATATATGTTACATGAATATAATATGACTCTAATACTCACATTTTAGATGAATATATTCCATGAATAATAATTAGGCTTTCATTTACATAATCAATAATTGAGATGAAAATCCTATAAATATTATAAAACCATAAAGAAATTTTTGTCTATATTGTATTTTATTTGCAATATTATAGTAGTGAAATTCATTAAATCATGCCGTTGATTTAATTTCAAGTGCACACGAAGTGCATCGACATAACATCTTCTGACAAACTCTGATATTCGCCGGTCGACCATTCCATTCCATTCCATCTCCGTATTCAGCAGTTTCTTCATTATCCTCGCATCAGTGATTTTTTTATTTCTGCTCGATGCTGTGAGGTTTCATCAGAGTGATACACTCGAGAATGCAAATTCTTGTAAATGAAGAGGAAAAGGAAAGAGACAGGCGAAAAATAAGACCGGGAAAGTGTCAGTTTCCAAGGGAGATACGGAATTTGATTTCAGCCCGAGCTGTTGAGTATCGACCCACAGCGAGAAACGAACTTACCTCTTGAAAAGATATCGGCGGAAAGCGATTTCTTTCTCTCTCTTTTTCTCGCTTTTTCTTTCTCTCTCTTATTCTTCTAAAATATTTCTTATACATTTTCATAAATAAAGAAGATCGGATCAGATATACCCAGTATATATAAGTATATGCCCAGTATAATATTACATATTTTTACGTTTGATCTTAATTTATTTCTCGAGATTTATTGTAATATCATTTGCCTAATTATACCCGTTTAAAGATTAATAACGCTTTCCACAAACCGCGATAGGTACTAATCTTTAGATAGCTCCTCCTATCAGCTTATCTTGATTGCCCTCATAGATTCTTCAGCACGTGCCAAGAAAGCCCAGTTGATAAATGTTAACGAGAAGAAAAGGTGGAACGAACTCGAAATTGTTCCACTTGTCCGTAAAGAAAAAAAATCGCAGGAATAGATGAAAAGATCTTTCATCCTCCTCTATTCTCATACTAAATGTATGAATCTAGGTCACTGTTTGAATGACATAGATTGTATCAACATTGCGACGCATGCTTTTATGAGAGAGCCATTAAGGATAATTATAATGTCTTTGAGTAATAATCTATTTAATATACATGTAACAGCAATTTTTTTTATAAAATATAATTTTTACAAATCATGAAAAAAATTATCTCGCTGCAATTTTACTCTATTAAAATTTTTAAAACTGATCTCAGAATTAAGAATTAATAAGCTTGTTATTACTTGGTTTAGAAAACAAAAGTTTAATTTTCAGAATTGCCAATATATGTTTATTTCAATCATCGATTCGATTTAAATCGTACTTTGAGCTCATATCAATTGTGCTCCGAAATAACGGCGAGTAGCGCGTCGGGACGTCGATAATAATAGAAGATAGCTAAAGAGGCCGTATAAAATTTCCGGCAATATTAGCCACCCGTCGAATTAGCGCTGCGAGAAAATGCCCTACTCATTGTCGTTCCCCGGGGAGGGCAGTTGGGGTGAACCCCAAAAGGGGCACCCTCGCGGAGAAGAAGGGCGGGGCCCCGCATAAAAGGGCCCCAGATCAAAAACCAACCCCTGGGTGGAGTTTGCACCCTATATATAACGAACTTGGGGTCTTCGGGATGCAGACTACGATGCACCGTCGTGTAGTCAGAACTGCGAGTTCATATTTAATTTTGTCTTATTGTCTAATTGAAACCATTGAAAAGCAGTGTAAATTAATATCGTGTATTCTGGAAAAATCAGAGAGAAAATAAAAAGATAATTCGAAGGAAAAGCATCGCGAAAATATTTAGGAACGCTGTGATTTTAATAAAACTAATTAAAAATACGTTCTTGGGAAGAAAGAAAATTCATCGTATTAAATTGAAAATAAAAATTAAAAATTAAGTAGTTAAGTGCAACGAGGAAATCTCAATGATCGTTGGATTATTTTGTGTCGCGTGTGATTTCTGCGATTTAAGTTGGACACAAACTCGAGAAATTGCATTGACCGTCCGAAAAGTATTTCATCGAGGAGAGAATGTCTCGAAGCTTCTTAGTGGACTCTTTAATCGGCAACAATTCACCGCCTTCGTACCCGTTGCCGTATTATGGGAATCAACTTCCTAATTATATGTTCAATTTTTTCAATTTGGGCTTGGGCTATCAACCGATTAGACCGGTGCCCAGACCACCCAATATGCCTGTGTCCATCAATCCACCAACGTTGGGTGTTTTGCCAATATCTGGACAGAGTCCACCATCGCCTTTGAATACCTCAACGAGTAGACTATCAGGTAAGTGAGATCACTAATTAACTTATGGCAAATGTGCATTAACGGCTCGCAAATGTATACAAATGTATGATTGCTTTTATTGCATTAATACGCATTAGAATCCTTAATAATTGAAATAAAAATAAAATAGACTTCGAAATATTCACAGAGACATTTCAAATAAATAATAAACTTTAAAAATATAAAAAGAAATAATTCTATTATTTTACATATATATTTTCAAAATTATTTTATTTTAACATTTCCACTATAAAATATAATAACAATTATAAAGCATTACTATACTTTAAAGTAAAAATTCTCAAAAAGTAAAAGCAAATTATAACTTTTTAAAATTCTAATTGTTTTAAAAATTTATCTTTTAATGTGAAAATATTTCAAAATATTTTTTTTATTCTGAGATTTTTAAAATATTATTTTGACAAAAAATATACATCTTCGTGTATTTTCAACTTTTAAATATGTTGCGTAAAAGCAAGCATGAATTTATTGAATTCTCTCTATCAGAATAACGATCTTGTAGCAACGCCATTAACCTCTGACCTTTTCTTAGATATTTCAGCGCCTAACGAATCTCCATCCCGCAACAGCACTCCGACGCCTCCGCCGAAATCTCCGAGTTCCATCAACAACAGCTCTAAACGTATTCGGACCGCGTTCACCAGCACTCAACTATTGGAGTTAGAACGCGAGTTCGCCTCAAACATGTACCTGTCGCGGTTGCGTCGCATCGAGATCGCAACCAATCTGCGACTGTCGGAAAAGCAGGTGAAAATCTGGTTTCAAAACCGCCGGGTAAAATACAAAAAGGAGGATTTACCATCTGGTCAGAATCAGAAATGTTGTTGTCTGAGGACCTGCGGTAAACGAAAGGATAGCTGCGGAGAAGAATCTCCTGGGAGGAAATGCGACCAGGAAGAGGACGAAAAGAGGTCTCCGAAGAGCGAGACCGGCGACGGCAAATCCATTGGTAGATTCGTCGAAACCGAACGTCTCGAGCGATCAATCTCGAATGAAGATGCCTGCTTCGAGGCAAAGTTCGAATTCTCGAGAATAAACTCCGTGCAAGATCAGGCAATAGGATACGAGATACGGGATCTCTCTCGAGGTTGCAAGAGGAATCTGTCAGACGCGGGTGAACGGGATGACAAGAAGGAAGATGGAAGCGGTGGCAGATTATCAGACTTCGAATCCAGAAGCAATTACAACTCCGATGTTCAGGAATATAGAATGCACGAAGCACACCGTCGAGAGAATCGTTAACTCATAGATCCCGAAGTCTGTGTATAAGTTTCGAAACTTATATTATGTAATGTATAATGCAATAAATTCAAACTCTATCGACGGTTTCGCAAGTAGATAAATCAATATTTAAAACTATAAGTAAGCGTTCCGAGAAAAGAGGCTCAAACAATAAAATCGTATCAGAATACATTTGCAACTATTGTACATATTATGTAAATAATATATATATTGTATACAATTGTGTATATTAATAAATATATCGTATTTTTGTATGATTTATAAAACCAAGATTGCATATCTTTTAATATAAAGTTAGGCGGAATAAAATTCTCACTCTTTCTAAATTGTTAATAAATTTTTATAATTTTGTAATTTCTTAATTCTTCCATCCAAAATATCATTATATTTACGCTTAATATAAATATTACTCAAACAAATATTGTTTAATACAAATAATATTCTTGAAAAAACGTAAGTTTCACGTAAAATTATTACATATAATGGAAATCTCCAAAATTTAAAGATACCAAAATTTAATTAAAATAAAAAGTACATCTTTTCACAGATTTTAATAGTATCATAAATAGTAAATATCTAAAACAATTTTTAGTAATAGAAGACTGATAATATTAGTAATACAAGATTTAGTAATACAAGTAATAGAAGGCTGATAATAAATAAATAAATTTTATATATATATATATATATATATATATATATATCTTTTTTCTTTATCGTACACACACAAAATAAATAAATTTAGATTCTGAATTGCAAAATCTTAACTTCAATATATTATTGTTTTTGTTTTTTTAGTAGGTATATTAATACATCAATTATAAGTATATTAATTATCATTATAATGGTATTATAATGAAAATGTAATAAAAATATATAATAATCACGTACTTTCTTCTTAATATATCATAATGTAAGAGTAATTTAATTAAATAAATATATAAAAACACAATTCATACGAAATAAAATTGTGTTATCTTCCTTTTTACGTATCTCTCAATTTTCTTATTCAAAATAATATATGAATAATTACACTTATTATATAATTAATGCCGCAATGCAAACTAAAAATGATTGTAGCCACTTATAAGTTACATACATATAAATGTATATACAATGTATAATTCAAAAAATATAGCTTTTTATATATGAAACGTATGAATATAATGCGCATATCAAATGTTCATCATAAAGAATCTCCAACATATAACACAAGCTTTGACGGCGTAACGCGCGCCTATATACACGATTTTCCAGTCAAACGATCGGCGAGAAAGAGTACAACTCAACAAGAGTACAACGCGGTCACTCGAATGGCTCGTTTGCTATTGTCGACGGGGAAACTGGTCGTGTTGCCCTAAATCCCGAAAATTTGTCAAGAGGGCCCCCCACTTTAGGTTAAATTTAAGGTAAAACGTAGTTAATGGTGTTAAGGAGCTGGGCGACAATGCGTCAAGATCTCGCGCTCTCGAAACCTCGAGCTCCGAACGGACAATGGGACACTTGTGTTGCCATTCGCGGGGTCCGATGAAACGTGAAAACCAGCCGGCTGCCTTTTTTCGGGCCCGAGCGCGACAACGTGTCCCATTCACGGTAGCCAAGAAGTCCCCGAGGTCGCGTAGACTCGATTCATTCATGCGTTTGGTGGATCAATGACACGGAGGAGGGAGGGAGGAAGGAGGGACCGATCGCGCAGACTGAATGACGATGAGTCCGGACGAAAAGTCGGAATCAGAAAATCGCGCTTCCATGATCCGCCTTTCTGCCTTTCGTCCTACACAACGGCAGTCGGTGCTTTTGACGATTCGGAATAAATCCAAAGGAACCTTTAAGGAATGCGGATTCGGCGACAATTTCTCGCCTCTTGAGAATGTTAGCGAGTGCATTCGATTATGGCAGTTTAAAGTCTAAAGCGTGAATGCGAGTGCAAGTGATGTATGGAGTGTCTCTTCAATTCCCGACGCGATTTTTCTAATCTTTCTTACCTGAGGTAGCAGTCACCCCTAAATTACGACGCTTTTAATCAACTATGAAAGACAGCGGGTAAAAAGGAAGATGTAACAATAATTTTTACATCGAGGCGCTTAACGAAAGCTGTAAAAAAAACCTCCGAGAGCAACGATATTCTCGTCGTGTTTCGCGTTTCAATTGAATTCAACGTTTCGTGACTCACGACGACGACGGGCTAAATGATTTTCCGGCGCGACATCCAATCGCAATTCAATTTTACGGACTCTCGCGTACTCACGTCTCGTCACACGCGGCAATTGGATCATCGGTAGTATGAATGATAGATGCCATCGTTCCTTAATACGTCCATCAATAGAGTCACGTGTTCCGGTTGATTGCATTTGCCAAATTGTGATGTTTCGCGTCATGAAATTTAACGTCGACTATTTAATAAGAAGCTACGGGAATAATTAAACATGTTCCGTTCTATATCGTCGAAAAATTTGATATTTCATAAACGACAATCGAAAAGAATTATAACGATGCAAAAATTAAATATGATTCACTTCACTAAATTCCATCAATTCAATTTTTTCAAATGTATGCATGATAATATCGTTGTGATATTAATATAACATGTAATATACATATCGCTTGATCTACATATCTCTCTGTAACAGAATTTGAAAAATTTGACGTATTTGTAATATCTGAAAATAGACTCGTTTTATTTTATATGTTGTCAATCCTCATTTTTTTTAAATTCCGTTATTTTTGATATCGAATATTTTTTTTTTGGTAAACTATATTTTTTACGATGTTTTACATTTATATATTTTTTATTTATAATCAAAATATTTTTTTTTCAATAATAAATAATAATAATTTTAGTAATAATATATTCAAAAATATTTCAGTTATAATATAATACTAATAATATTAAAGCACACAGTTATTTATATCATATTTTATACAGCATGTAGTATATTTTACAAATTTTTCCATTTCATTAATATATATTATTATGCATTCAGTTTGATAAGCTACCAATTAAGAAAACATCCAAAACAAATTCCAAATCAAAATTCAAGAACATTTTATCTCATTACAATACATTTTGTATATATATGATTAATTTTTGAATTGATTTAAATATTGATCAGATTATCAAAGCCTGATGGCTGCTCGACGAGTCATCGTAGCAGTTCTCCAGCAATTCGCGACTGTTTCTATTCAACGAACCTGACAGATCGTCGCAACTCACCAGAAAGCGTCTGTACTCGAGTGGTTCTAATGAGTTCTAACGAATTCGCGACGCACTCTTTAGAGAAACTCTCTAGAGGGTCATGACTTGCAACGGTTCGTGCGACTCAAAAATCGAGGGAAAGAGACAATGATAAAGAACGCGACGAGGAAAGGAACAAAAACGGAAAGAGAAAAGAGACGGAGAGAGGGTGACTGAGTTGTTGTCGGCGGCGGCCGATTTCTGGTTCCGGTGCGCTAATTCATTTCATCTTATGCGCATTGAAGAGGCGCTCCATCAAAGCTGGAAAGAGCCACCGCGACAGCACTTTAGCACAGAAGGGTGGAGGGCAGGGTGGTGCGGGCACTCGAAAGTTGAAACCGTTTTTGCTTCTTTACACCGAACCGGAGGACAATGGTATCGGCGACATCGACCATTGTAGATCGTTTTCGCGACATAACTCCAGGTAATTCGCGTTCGAACCGATTGATCGATACCAGATGCGATATAAGAATTTTAATAAATAACGTAATATATTTTTTGAAAAAGTACACATATTCGGAAAAAAACGACTGTTATTAAGTTTATCAAAAAAAATTCAGAGAAAATTAAATAAAATTTAAAAAATCTATTATTCCAAATTAAACGTTTTTTGAAGAAAAAAAAACACGAAGGGAATGGTTTAAAAAGTTAATAGAAAACGTTAAATTTTGTAAATTTACGAAAAGCAATTTATCATTTTCCCAAAATAGTACGAAAAATGACGATTTTATAAAAATGTCAAAGAGAGAAAATTTCAAAATATTTCTTTTTCAAACAAACAATTTCAATAATAAAATAATCAACTGCCGACATTCGATTATAGAAAGTTTAATGACACGATAAATTTATTTCATCAATGTTTTCAGGCTTTTCTGACATTATTGACAAAGCATTTAAAACTTTCAAGAAGTACAAGTCTTGCGAAACAATAAGTTGCTTGTCATTGTGACATAGATGCATTGTGTAACGTATTGCAGGAATGCATCGTGACATTATCGACCATTATGCATGCATAGCCAATGACGTGAGAATAATTTCGTAACAATACCTGTAAATGCGATGATCCATTTTCGCTCAATTTTTCATTGTCACGTTTTTCTATTCGCTGATGAACGACATATTGGCGATGAAGATTGATTCTGCTGCGACAGTCGAAAGTTGTTTAATGTTTATGATTGAGAAATTTCGGAAAGGCATCCGGGAAAATAAATTTTTTACGACTAGAAGAAAGTGTTCGAAATAAATTTCACATAAATATATAATTAGAAAAAAAAATATAACTTTAATTAGTTTTTGATTACAAAAAATATATTGATTCCTAATAATAACGTAAAAAAAAATTAACTTTCAGAAGAAAAAGTCATTATATAACCCAGTGTACCATGTGATTGCCATTATTATACTTTACTTTTCTCTATGAGGGTCTAGAAAGAAAGGAACTACTGTCTCGTTCGAAAATTGGTAACCGCTAAGGTGGAAATAATAAAGATAAAGTTTCACCGCGTCATTACATCATCATTACGCGTGGCAGGCGGCGTATCACCCATACGAATGCCATTCGTATCGTGCACCTTTTCCTGTGTAATCTTCGCATTAACCGTGAAATACATACGTTAAACGCACCTGTGTCCCAAGCATGTCCGCCTCCAATGCAAGCCGGCAACTTTCAGGAAATTGCCTTTGGGACCAGTTTAACTTAACCGAAAACCTGACCAAGCGTACCGCAATGGTCGATCGATTATTGTAAACCTGTTTCTACGCGATGAAGCGTATCGTGCCAAGTCACATTTGTCTGTGCTTATAGCAGATGTTAGTATTTTTATAGCGGATTTTGTTGTTGCCTAAAAATATTATTTCATGTGCCGTTGTCTCGGTAAATATTTGTTTAAAAAATGACAAG